AATTATTGATAATGAATCATGGCCTCATTGAAAAATCTTTCAACGGGCTCTTAATAAAATCTCATTCACTTGGAAACTTGCTGGATGTTTAGTGAGGGGGAGCTAAAGGCTGTTTCCTCTGGGGTGAAAGCCAGGCTACCCATTTGATTTTTACTCTGTTCTTCATCTGAACTTACGAAGACTGAAGTACTAGGAACGTGTTCTGTCTTGATCCATGAAGTATCTTTAGTGTGCTCAGAAGCCTTCTTCTGATGCCATTAGAAACAATACTAAGTAAAACAAATACATAAGCATTTATCAGGTCTATTTCAATCTGCAATGATCCTGCAGATTCTGATCTTGGAAAGCACTTCTGGCCATTTCAAAGGTTTTTGCCAGTGTGGTCACTTTCTTAAATGCCTTAAAGAGCTACATGGTAACCAGAGTACAGAACTTATAATTGCTTGGAAGTATTAGATTTCAAAACTATAAAACTTAGTGCTTTGCAATGATAATCATAATGTAATTACAATTTTAAGTGTCCCCTGTTCTGTGTTGGAGTTCCCCCTCCAATCAATCATTCTGATTTTTCATAAAGGTACAAAGGACTAAGAATCCAGTCCATGAGTCCAAATGTGTGTATGTTTGATAAGAAATATGCACCCATACTTTTTGGTATGAAAATCGTCAGTTTCCAAATATCTATCAATGAGTGTTTTACTAATGTTTCACTTGATGCTGTGGCTCAGAGAAAAGAAAGGGAGAAGATTCTATAAAACATTATAGACATCGATCTTAAAAGCCCAGTACATCTTTGAATTTTCTGATGTGAAAACTATACACAATTCTATAAAGCTTAGTGTATGTACTAACACACTGCTGTTAAAGTGTATATATTTCAATCGCAGGAACACAAAATACAATTTCCATATAGCATTCTTGAACAATATTGTGTGGACATCGCTAAATATTACATCCTCACAGTTATTTCACATATAGGAAAAGTTTTTTTAATTAAATGAAACAATCAAAACGTAGTCCATTAAAGAGTGTAATGCAATTTGAAGTGCTGGCAAGAACTAAGAAATTTTGAAAGCTAAATGGAAGCTTTAGATGACCCTGCATCTTCTACACACATTGTGTTTGTTAAATCTCCCCACCCTCATTATCCTCAGCACAACTAAAAGAGGATACTGATTTTCTATTTTGACTCTGTCCTGACAGTCATTTGTATAATACACCAGCACAAGGCCAATTTAGGGGAAGATAACTGGTTTGCAAATGAATGATGTGTATAAGCTATTGTGAAGAAATGAAACTCAGTCATGTCCTGAGGCCTTAAAAAAATCAGGCTCATTGCAGTGCATCTCTGTCTTAAGTCAGTGCTCTGTATTCCGACAACTACAAAATGTGCCTTTAATTTTATTGAAAATGTTCTTTTCCTTCAGAATGAAAAGGAAAGTCTGCTTCCATTTATTTCAGGCAAGGGGAAGACAATGGGGCAGCAGGAAAGGTTTAACACGGGCATGGTAGTGTCTTAGGCTAATCGTTTTTCACCAAACACACACATGCAGCAGTGAGACATCCTTAAAATGTAAAACATCTTGCTTTTTTAATAACCCCTTGTGGTATGTTTTTACTTTAGCAATAATTGTATTTTCTTTTTTGCACATTTTATTTAACAACATTGCAGTGGAGGATAATCGGTTCCATGTGTTCAGGGTACTAGCAAAATGCCTAACGGAGAAACAATTAACTTTATTGGGCTCCTGTTATTGGCAGACACAGCCTTACACCCTTGCTCGTTCATGGTGCCGAGTCACATATGAGCTGCAAAGAATTTGGTGTCCTAAGAAATCACACAGCAACCTGAATTTAGAGCCAAATTGTCGTTAAAATGTTTGTGATCCTGAACTCGAAACAGAAGTTAAAGTCCATGACAAGATCAGAAGATAAAGTTCACTTAGGTAACAAAATGTGCTATGCTTAGACCAGGGCAGGTAGCCAATGAATGATAAATGGGTCTGTCGGTTTTTCTTTCTTTCTTTCTTTCTTTCTTTCTTTCTTTCTTTCTTTCTTTCTTTCTTTCTTTCTTTCTTTCTTTCTTTCTTTCTTTCTTTTTCTTTCTTCTTTCCTCTCTCTGTCTCTCTCTCTTTCTTCTTTTTCCTCCAAAAGAACATACTGCATAATGTGAGACTATGATTCAAGCGTGGCCCTTTGAGTAGGAAGCATTGCAACAATACTTAAATGCAGTTAAGCACAAGAAGTAATGTAGTTAGCTTTTATCAAACATTAACACTTGCACTGGAGAGTCCATAAAATTCTAATTGGCCTCGTCTGCAGAAAGCAGCCCCAAGAGGTTCTTTATGCACCGAGCAGCTCTGACTCATGCCAAGAGTGTTATGAGAACATAAACTATACTGGCATAGCTGCAGTTGACTGGAAAAGGGGACTATGTACAGGCCACCCCCAAGGAGGCATAAGTTAAGTCCATAGTAGGACCAGCATCTACAGTGATTCAGCCTGAAGTTCTGAACTCTGTTGGGAATTTGATCTAGGTAGGTTTTTCTTTTATCAGAGAGATGAGAGTGGGAGATATATCACATGCAAGAATTGCATTTGCTGTGGTGTTTTGAATGAATTACCCACCGTAGGGTCAGGCATTTGAGTATTTGTGTCTTTCTTGGTGGTGCTATTTGAGAAGACTTAGGGGGTGTGGCCTTTTGAAGGATGTCTCTGGAGGTGGGCTTTGAGAGTTTGAAGACTCAAAGCCATTTCTAGTTTACTCTCATTGCTTCAGGTTTGTGATTCAAGACGTTGAGGTCTCAGTTTTATGATCCAGCTACCATGCTTGTACCCTGCTTCCTCTCTTCCTGTAGACAGCAGGGGAAGCCATGAGTGATTGAAGTCCTGAGTTAATGTCCATTGTTAGCATGGGCATAAATATGTACAAAACTCCAATGCCTCATCTGCAGAGTATGGCAAAGACTTATCAGGATGAGGCTCAAGAGGAATGGCAAGGCATTCCTTAAGAGTGCAAATGTGAGTGAGTTACCACTGTGTGCAAAGACTAGCAACTGCAGCTTCTTCCTCCCAGACATTTGCAGCTTGAAACTGCTTGCTTATAGTGACCTTCTTCCAGGGCTAGCTGGTAGAGTCTGTCCTTGCTCATAAACAGAGTGAGTATATCCACATTGAGCCACAGCTTTCTTGTAAGTGGGTCTGTGTATCTGTCCTTCTTTCTCCTGTTGCTACCAGTTGGGGTTCCAAGACCAAAATCAAAAGGTTTGTGGTACCCTCCTCCTTCAAAGACCCTGACTTTCTAAAACCATAAGCTCAATAAACTCTTCTATAAGTTTCCTTGGTCATGATGTTTTATCAGATAATATACCAAGTAAATCAGAGAAATGGATGTTTCTCCATGAAACATGTGATATCCTCTGTACTTACATTTGCACTCAGAGTACGTGAATCCTTCCTTGCATGCATGCATGTGCATGCATGCGCACACACACATACCACATGTATGTATGCATGTGTTTGTGCATGCATGTATGCTTATATCTGTGAGTGTTGGTATGTATATGCTATGGTATGAGTGTAGAAGTCAGAAAAAATATGCTGTGTTGTTTTTCACCTTCTTATTCATATTTTCTTATAACTAACTGTTCTATGTTGAATATAGGATGGCCATTTTTCTCCTCTTTTAGAACTTATAGAATATACAAGGTTTTCCAAGGGTCTTGACCAAGAAAAAGATTATTAAAGACAGAATATAAAATGCACAAGTAGAGTCCAGATGATAGAATATTTGGAGAAAGTCTCAATGACTCCAAGATTTCTTTCTCTGGTGATTACTTCACAGTTTGGAGTGGCAGAAAATGTGGGACAATATCAGAGTATTTGCACAGTTTCATGTAGATTGGTATGTGAAGGCAGAGCAATGAGGTAGTAAGGACATGTATGCTTCTTTACACTTCAGATTTAGAATTTTCCTGTTGATGAGCACAATCAACAGGCTACCATTTGCATAATATATTTAATTTTTTTAATTGCCTATGTTGTGCTTTGAAATGAGTCCCACCAGCTGTGTTACCATTTCTGAGATTATTACCATGGTGAACTCTGGTAAACTGGGATGTGAGCCAACATCTCCTGCTGCCAGCACTGAAACCAGCAGTCATCTTCTCCCATGTTACAAAAACAATGGACAAGTGGAATATTTCAATTTCAGCTTGCCTTTCATGATTTCGCCTTAGCGACATGACATCTACTTCGCACAATTATTTGAGTAGAACATGCTGGAATCAGCTGTGTAGCATGATCACATACACAGATTTTTTTTTCCTTTTTACTGTATCAGTCAGTATTCTATGATATTCTCAAATGCATTGACAAGCTACTTTACAAAGGAAGTATGGTACTCAAATGTCTCTTCAAGAGACAGTCTACTGAGCTGAATAGTAGGGCAGACAGATTTCAGCGACGACACCTGAGCAGTGCAGGACAGACTGCCTCTAGGCTCCAGCCTGGTGGGATGGGCACTACTGCATTTGGGGATCAGGCGACAGAGATGGGGCATTACTTTGGAGTGAAAACCTCCTTTATCCTTTGGATTTTCTCATTAGCCTGGTGAGGGTTTTCTTCAAGCTGCACTAGAAAAGGAGTCCTGTCTACCCTGCCTCCCTTCTCTCACTCCCTGCATGGATGCAGTATCCCCACTTCTCTATTCCCACTGTCTCCATTTGGTCTACAAAAACATTTCCTTAACAAATCTTATTCATTTATAATTCTACCTTGGGATGTTTTCTGCTTAAGTGACTTCTACCATTATTTTTCTACTAATTTGTCTCCTTCATCTACAACAAATTAAATAAGAGAGGACATGGGGCTGAGAGTTTAAATTCTGGCACAGCAATTACTGAGCACATACAAGGCCAAAGATTCAAGCTCCTGTACCGCACAAAAAAGAAAATAGGAGGAAAAATAAAAATTCAAAAAAGGCGGCCTCGCGCGCGCGCGCGCGCGCTCGCGTCCCCGTCGGCTGCGGGGGCTCGGAAGCCGAGGAGAAAAGGCTGCGAGGCGGCGGCGGCTGCGGCGGTGGCCGAGAGAGTACAGAGAATGAACCAGCAGTGGAAGAGAAAACCCTCTAAGTTGGCCGACAACTAGTAAAGAAGATGTTTTATTTTTGTGACAGGTGCATGTGGGATCTGTGATAGAAATGATGGCTGGCTGTGGTGAAATTGATCACTCGATAAATATGCTTCCTACAAATAAGAAGGCGAGCGAGTCCTGTTCTAGCGCTGCACCTTCTCTCACAGTTCCCGAGTGTGCCATCTGCCTGCAAACGTGTGTCCATCCCGTCAGTCTGCCCTGTAAGCATGTTTTCTGTTATCTGTGTGTAAAGGGCGCTTCATGGCTTGGGAAGCGATGTGCTCTTTGTCGACAAGAGATTCCTGAGGATTTTCTGGACAAGCCAACCTTGTTGTCACCAGAAGAACTTAAGGCTGCAAGTAGAGGAAATGGTGAATATGCATGGTATTACGAAGGAAGAAACGGCTGGTGGCAGTATGATGAGCGCACTAGCCGGGAGCTGGAAGACGCTTTTTCCAAAGGTAAAAAGAACACGGAAATGTTAATTGCTGGGTTTCTGTATGTTGCCGATCTTGAAAACATGGTTCAGTATAGGAGAAATGAACATGGACGTCGCAGGAAGATTAAGCGAGATATAATAGATATACCAAAGAAGGGAGTAGCTGGACTTAGGCTGGACTGTGACACTAATACTGTGAGTCTAGCAAGAGAAAGCTCTGCTGATGGTGCGGACAGTGTATCAGCACAGACTGGAGCTTCTGTTCAGCTTCCAGTGCCGTCTTCCTCAAGACCACTAACATCAGTTGATGGTCAGTTAACCAGCCCCGTAACACCATCCCCGGATGCAGGCACTTCTCTGGAAGACTCTTTTGCTCATTTACAACTCAGTGGAGACAGCATAGCTGAACGGAGTCATAGAGGTGAAGGAGAAGAAGATCGTGAATCACCATCTTCTGGCAGAGTACCAGACACTTCCGTTGAAGAAACTGAATCGGATGCCAGTAGTGATAGTGAGGATGTCCCTGTGGTGGTTGCACCGCACTCCTTGAACCAGCAGAGACTTTTGGTTTCAAATGCAAACCAGACAGTAGCTGAACGATCAGACCGACCGGGGACTGACCGATCAGTAGCAGGGGGTGGAACCATGAGTGTCAATGTCAGATCGAGAAGGCCTGATGGACAGTGCACAGTGACAGAGGTTTAAACAGACGTCTTCAGTGCCACACTCAAGGGTGAAATGGATACCTGTAAATTTCTGCCCACATAACATTATACTCATCCTTAGTAGTGCATTGTGGGAGTTGGGGTGGGAAGGAATATGGGAAAGACAGACCTGAAATTAAAATGTCTAACATTGTCTCTGTTGAAATTTATTTAATGTGAGGAATTGGGGTGTTGATATTTGAGAGCTGTTCAGTAATAACACAGTTTTTTTGACATCTGTTTACTTTATAGTGTATTTTTTATGTCTTTAGTTCTTTTGGCCAGTGTGTACCTGTGCATTAATGGTCCTCAGCTGACTCTTGCACTACCTTATTTTTCTGCATGGATTGGTATAAAATCATTACTAAAACTTGGCACCTGTGAGATATTTGATGTCATTATGAGCAGGAAGCTTAATGTGGAAAATAGATGACTAACGACTACTTTATAGTTGGTCTTACTGAGATAGAAATGTAAAGCAGCAGCTAATAAGTTGTTTCCGGATCTGTAACACACTTCATGCCGTTCCTTTCCATAGGATTTGCTGTCTTGTCCTTGTACTTTGAGGTTTCTCTTAGTCTGCATTTTTCTTTTTGATTAAAAAAAAACTTTATAATTTAATAAATACTAGAGTTTATCAAAAATAATGTTTCTTGTTTGAGTCTGAAAAAGGGATGGCGGTACTTTGGTATTTGTGGCTAAAGAGCTTTTTAAAAGGT